GATTTATTTATATTGTGTCTCAGTTTATTATTGTCAATATTCATAAAATCAAAGATATTATATTAATAAATCCATGAAATCAATAATAGAATAAAAAAAAATATTCATGAAATCGGTTTCGAACATGGTGAAATGGTATATGAAGTAAGTGAAAATGATTATGAAATGGGTGCATCATGAAATTAGTGCAAAATGAATAGGGTGCATGATGAATAGAGTGCATGATGATATGGGTGCTATAATTTCATTATCAATAGCGTGAAATGACAAATGACTCATCAAACCATGTTAGCCGATGTAATGGGTGATTGAAGAAAGTGAAACCATTTCATGGTTTCTAAGAAAATTTTGTGTAATTAGGTGAAAAGTGAAGCAATTTCATTATCAATAGTGTGAAATGACAAATGACTCATCAAACCATGTTGGCCGATGTAATGGGTGATTGAAGAAAGTGAAACCATTTCATGGTTTCTAAGAAAATTTTGTGTAATTAGGTGAAAAGTGAAACAATTTCATTATCAATAGCGTGAAATGACAAATGACTCATCAAACCATGCTGACCGATGTAATGGGTGATTGAAGAAAGTGAAATCATTTTATGGTTTCTAAGAAAATTTTGTGTAATTAGGTGAACAATGAAATCATTTCATTATCAATAGCATGAAATGACAAATTTCTCATCAAACCATGCTGGCAGATGTAATGGGTGATTGAAGAAAGTGAACCATTTCATGGTTTCTAAGAAAATTTTGTGTAATTAGTGAACAATGAAACCATTTCATCTGATTAAACTGTGAAATCATTTCGTTCATGAAATGTAGTAGTAATTTTTTTATTATTATTCAAAAGATTTTATTATGTTAAATATTGTTGATCTATTTTAATAATGGATGTAATTTTATTTATAATATTTGAACATAAAATTAATATATTATTTTACAAATGATTTTGTTTCATTAATATTACGATATACGTGATATTGTTGCCATTAATATTACTACTACCAAAGTTACCAGTTTGCCCTTATAGGTATTATAAAATAAATTTTTTTTTAATTTCCTAATATAACCTAAACTAATCTTGACCATTGATCAAGAAAATAGATGTATGAGATTGATTTACATGGTTTACACAAACGAAGACGATTTTCATTTGATCGTTTCTCCACACACACACACACACACACACATATATATATATATATATATATATATTCACGTACAAAATCATCCAGATTCAAAAGCCGTCCATTTTTATTTTCTTGACATTCATGTAAATCACATATGATTTTGTATATTAACGATATTTTTCTTATTTTCTTAAATAGTTAACGTTCTCGTTTGAACTTTATCTAAATCAGATGATAGGAAAGACAAATCTCTTGATTTATTAATTAAGTATTATTTCAAAGTTCTAAATTTGAAAATTTTCAGTTTAAGTTTTAAATAAAGGAAAAAAAAAATAGAGACATGACATTTGACATTTTGACTTGTTAGTGTATTATTTAGGCCAACATGTTATTATATATGAAGAATGACATGTGAAGCTTATTTTACTATTTTAGTTTGGATTAGAACATTTGACTATTCTTTTCTTTATTAATATTTAATGTGTTATTATGCAGCATCATTTTTTTATTATATTTATGAATTTAAGAAATTTCTTAAAAAGATTCTGTTACAAAAAACTTAAGGGACATTTGGTTCAAATAATAATATTTAATGGAATTGTAATCTATAGGGAAATTTTGATTTTGAAGAAATTTGAATGGAATTTGACTACGTATTTGGCTGATAGAAATTGTAATGGAATCTTTCAAAAGAATTGAAACAACCGTCTTTGTTTGGACTACTCCACCCATCGCCCCATCCATACATTACTAACCACCATGTCACTAATGACATCGTCACAACTACACACCACCCCTGCACACCACTACCCTGTCCACCCTATCCAAACCCCGTCCCACCCTATTCGATCTGATCTGACTCAATCATTCATTGGATGTTGGATTTTGTCATCGAATCCAATCTGATTAACATTGGACATCATATCCTATCCAAATCCAATGGATGATTGGATCAGGTCGGTTCCATCCATTGGATGCTATTATTGGTTATTCATTGGATCAGATTGGATTTATCCAATCTTTTTATCCAATACACAACCAATAAATCCACCATTTCAACCAATTATTCATGTGTTTTCTTAAGTTATTAAAAAATAATATTTATATAAATATCAACTAAAAATCATTATCTTAAAATGTTAATAATTATATATAGTTATTACTTGGATATTAGTTGGATGATAATTAGATGGTCATTGGATAGTCACTGGATTGGATCGTTTCGGTTTTATTGGTTGTTGGATTGCCTTCCAAGATCCGACTGATCCGATTTGAATGTTGAAATTTTGGATCCGATTCAATCCAATTACAATTGGATATCCAATTTATGGTCGATTGGTTTTAATTGGTTCGGTTGGTTTAAATTGGATTGGATGAATTTTTGCACATCCCTATGTTCAATTTAAAAAACCCAAAGGGCAAGGGGGCGTTGAAGTCACTGATGGGGAAGGGGGCGACGAAGTCACTGATGGGGAAGGGGGCGACGAAGTCACTAGTGAGGAAGGGGGACTTTGGTTGTGATAATGGTTCATTTGATTCAAAGGTGCGCCTTAAGGATCAAGAATCATCTTGTTGAATTTCTGTAGTCATTCGAAAACACCCTTGAAAGCTTTCTCCCTASTTTTAGATCATTCTACTTCACGAATAAAGATTCAGGATTTGGGGTTTTGATTTTAGTGCCAAATCTAGTAGACAAACTCGAAAGTTTTATCAATCTTTTATTAGGATACTGGCAAAACCTGGTGTATAAAAGAATATTGAATTTTCTCCACCTAACATATTGTCTATGAACTAAACATKRTGCTTAATTCAACTGCTAAACTCGAAACTGTAACTGACATAGGGCATACTTGGTGGTGGCAAAGAGCGAAGATGGAGGAAGGGAAGGAGAAGAAAGAGAGGTTYATTGAGACGGAGGCCAACAATGGAGATGGCTACGCCAGAGATGAAAGCAGGCGACATTATTTTTGTGTATAAAAATATGATGTATATTCTTATTTTTAATAAGGAAAGGACAAAAAATCATAGGCATATTGGTCTTCTTATCTTTGAGTTAACAACATTTGTCAATGAGAGAGGGACAATGACAAAAAAAAAAAACTACAATCGTCGACATCATATCTATAATTAATAAAGTGTAAGGTCTTTAATCATAATTGATAACGTAAAATTTTAAATCATAATTAATGCGGAATTCACTTCACTCTGAAAAAACGAAAAAAGGACAAATTACAGTAAACTATGATTTTCTTCCTGTGGTTTGAGAAAAAATACGATTTTTATCTCTGTGGTTTTAGAATTGTGATTTTCGTTCTCATGGTTTGTAATTTATCGTTATTTTTGTCTTCAAGACTAAATTTATTAAAAATTATTCGTTTAACTTAAGAGTATTTTAGTTTTCTTTTTTTGGTATTATTGATTTAATAAAACTATGTATTTTTTGATAAAAAAAAAGTTAATAGATAAAAAATTATATTATTTTGTTAATGTTTATGATATTGATTTAAATATTTTTAATTTAACTAGTTTTTTTTTTTTGGGATATATTATAGGTTTAGTTTTTTATGAGTTCGATTGCTACGACTAACATCATTCAAGTGCAAGTGCAAGACCAAGGGATTATACTTTAATAGGACTAAACAATTAACTACTTTTATGTTATTTTTACCCAACAAATGTATATAAGTCATTCAATTATACTAAATAAATGAATGTCTTATGTAAATGTGTTACAATAAGTTTATGAGTTATAAGTTCTATTAGTAAAATGACATACATTTATGTTAATAATCCTAGTGATCGTATTTATATGCTTATTTTGATAGGAAATAAGATATTCAAATAAATGATTTTTCGTCGAATGACTATTCATTTGAATCGACTGAGCGAGGGGTCTATATTTTGTAGACTATGGTTAATGGGTATCTTTAGATCATGATTCTATTTAGACTACAATTCAATATCAGAAGAATTCTCAAATCATCTCCCTAGCCTACCTACTTTCGAAGCTTTCCTTTTGTCTCTCTATCCTTGCTAACGAGAACCTGTGAGACGGCTAGTATACAAGAGTTAATTCCTTCCCTTAGAACCGTACTTGAGAGTTTCCTACCTCATACGRCTCSRCAGTCAACTCTTTTTGTATCCCATTTGAATCTACCATATCTAACTGAATAAGATTTCTCGTAGATCTATCCAATTTTTTCGGGTTAAGGAAAAGAATTGGTAAATATAACCAAATATGGTTAATTGTTTGGTTCTATAAAAACCATACTATCATGTGAAGGGTACCCAATTACTTGCACTAGAATAATGGTAGTGACAGTGTGACAGAAAATGAATTAATATGAAACTAAAATTATAATAACCAAATTTATGAAATAACTAATTGTATAAAAAATATTTTATTATTTATCATAAACAATAACAAAATAATATAATTTTATTTATCAAAAAATATATAATTTGATGAAATTAAAAAGACTAAAATACCAAAAATTATATTTAATAAACCAGAAAGAAAAAAATAAAAAAATCAAATAATAAATACCCCCAAATTAAATGGATGATTTTTAAGGGATTTAGTTTTATGGGTAAAAAAAAGGAATAAATTACAAACCATGGAAGAGAAAACCACAAGAAGGTTTAAACTATAGGGACTAAAATAGAAATTTTAAAACCACAAGGATGAAAATCGTACTTTGCTCAAAAACTTAAAACTATATGCCAGGAACTATATGCCAAATCGCTGAAACGAATCAATTATTGGGTGTGGACAGCGACTTGAAATTGTCTGCCAGTCCCTGCCCTACCGTCGGTCGATCCACAAATTCTCCGGTGGCACTGTCAGACAGAAGTCTTTGAAGGTACCCCTTGGACTGTAACTAAATTCAAGCATAATTAGACATATGCATATGTACAATCCGAGGATGATTCTTCTGTATGCTTTTTGTTCACGGTATTACGAAATTATTTTCGGTTTGATTCCTTATTTACAAGAAACAAGAAGAATGTTATGAATTTGATGCTAAGTGTCTTCTTGGGTTTATTTGGGAGGTTTTGTTTCCCTAAATTTCAGTCAGTTTTATGGCTGTTTTAGAACTGGAAATTGATAGATGATTGACCATGAATCGACGTGTTTAACATCTTGGACTTCTCTAATTTAACAGGGTAACTACGAAAGTTGGTTGTCTAGCCATGTCCAGACCCCTTCTGTTAGTTACGTTGCTTTTGTTGATGGTGTTGACCTCCCAGTTGGATTGGAAACAGAAAATTGTAAATGAGGTAGAAGCAAGATCATTAGCTCTTTCGAGAAAGCAGCAGTATGTTCTAGAGATGGAGGAATCTGTTAAAGAGAAGGCAAGGATTTCATATCATTTTCTATCATGGTTATGAGTTTGGATCTAGTTAAATGGATGTGTTAATCTCATGTACTCCATTAACTACGCATAGAAAATACTAACACAAATAAAGATATATGGCCATATGGGTGTTTAGAGTTGTGGAAATAACTCTAAAAGTGGAAGATTTGTATTCCTTACTTGTGCTAATAAACCTACTAAGAACTAGAACCTGTTAATGAATGATTGTTAACATGGGAAAGCGGGAATGTAATTCATTCTTTCCTAATTAAGGAAGGATTTCATCTATGATTCTCAAATTATTGATGATTTAGGTTTCCGTCATCTTGTAACATATGATAAGTTTTAAATGATCTGGCAATTTATTGAATATAATGCACTCTATAGTTCACTGCACTTTGCTAAGAATTTATATCAAGGATTATTTACTCTTATTAAGCAGCCATAAGTGATTTCAGTGTGCTTCTAGCTTAACCATTTGGGCATTAGCTCTTGTTATGGTTAAGTATATGCTTAAAAGGGGGATGGTTTATATGGTGGGGCTAAAGATGTATCTAGTAGCGATTTCCTCATTTGTTTATTTGTTTCAAGCTCTTCTATTTCATTATATCAGCTTTAACGGGATCATGCTCAAAACTGCACATATTCTGTTCTAGTTTTAGTTTACTACATCTCATGCTCTCAGGTTCCTTTTCAAAATTCTCAAAACTTTCAAAAAAGGAAACCTGCCAAAAAAAAATCTCTTATATCTCTCCAATTCTTTTTTCGCAAGTCGGAGGTCTTCGCAGAAACAACCTCTCTACCCCTTGAGATAGAGGAATGGTCTATGTACATCCTACCCCCAAGACCCTACTTTCGAGTGGGATATATTGGGTACATTTGGTTTGATTTGGTTTTAGCTTTAACTTGACCATCTGAAAACTTTGCACTCTCTTGGATAAAAAATCTCACCTTTTTACCGTGTACAAGCTATCTTGAAGTTTTCAGAAGACATGCATAAGCCTGTGATTCGATTGTGTGAGTATCTGGCCATGATGTTTATTGTCAACACAATGCAATCTTTACTTTGGGATTTTGGAGGGAGCCTAAAGAAGAGAGAACATGTATTTTTTTAAAGACAATACATATAAACAAGCATAGAGATAAAAAAGATTAGTTTCTAAGCACCAATTGATATATTGTCATACCTCCTTTGTGCTAAGTTTGAATACCTAAAGGTAAGGATTTAACCATAGGTAATGTTGCAACAACACCCAATCAAAGGGCCACTGTGGGAATTTGTTTCCTGTAGCAAGTGTCCGTCATAGCTTCCACTATCATCTGCCTAATTTCATATTCCTAACCTGATAATGGATACTAATCAAACCAAATATAAAATTATCCCTACGTATTCAAAATTCATTGTTCTTTTTTTAGAATTTGCAGCTATCGCACGTAGACATATCCTTATGGAAATACTTGAAAAAATAAATAATAGAATGTGATTATGTATACGTCTGATGTAGTATGGGAAGGATATTGAGGGGTGGGTAATCATTCGTATATGGTGTTCACTGGTTTATAAAAGGGATACTAAGAAGAGGGAAGTCATATAAAAATTTGATTTTAAGGATATCTAAAAGCCTTTTTTCTTGGTCCCCATTCCATGGTCTTGATGTTCCAATTTATGTATTTCTTTTTTGTTTTTTCTTTCTGGTTAATTTGATCATCAGATCTCTGGTTCTATCTCTCCTTTTAAGTCACTTTTCTAGAGTGTTGGTGATTGATCTAGAAACTGTTGAGTCATTTCCTTGCTAGAAGAATCGAGTGTCACCCATAGATTGTAAGATTATACCTATTGAGTGTTAACTACAAGCATTAACTGATAGTGGCATGTTTTCACATTGAGCATGGTGTTATATGGAATAAAAGTGTTGACCACCTTAAGACCAGGTGTTGAAACATAAGAGACAATAAGCTAGATATCAAGGACGGAATGATTAAAGAAATGATGATATCCAGGAGGTGGGTGGCACCAGTTGACAAGACAACGAAGCAACACCACTTGAGATGGTTGATTCATCTCCAATGTAGACCTTTGGATGCACCTTTTAGTATAGGGGACTTGCCTTAGGAGGAGGATGTTAAGTGAGGTAGGCCAGGCGAACTCTAAAGAGGGGAACCAAAAGAATTGGAATGATGTTATTCGTATTCCCAAGTCCTCGGTTGGGTTCCCCTCTATAGAGTTAGCCATGCTCTCAGACTCTCCATCTGATGACGAGTCGGAGTGAGCGATTGAGCATAACGCCTGATCATCGGGTTCATCATCAAGAGAATAGAGGGATTCAAGATCAGAGATGTCAACTAGTTCAATTTGGTTGAGTGTCTAAATCAATGCCTGGGACTTCTTGTCTTTACAATCTGTTGCAAAATGACCTTTTTATGGCAAATGTAGTAGTTTGAGATAACATACTTGTTGAATCATTTCTGGGTTATGATATTACGTTCTAGTTAACTATGTCTAGAATGGTACTCGTATATCTGCAAGCTATATGATGTATTCTGGGTCCTATCATCTGGAACTCTAGAGCTTCGAAGTTCAGATGTCATCTTCAATGGGCTGTTATTTGAGTAGTTTTCATAACTCTTGAATATCATCTTGCCATTGCAGATAATCCTGTCTCAGGAGAAGCATATCCAGAAACTTAAAACACTTGTGCAAAGTCTTCAAGAACAATTGTTGCTGTGCAGGGGCAAGGATGAGTTTGTAAACGACACTATGGGCTCGTTGACTGAACTATTAAATGAGCTGAAACAACAGAAGATCATGGAGTAGCAATATTACCTTTCTCTATGTAAGTAACATTTATCATTAAATTTAGCCTTACTCTGATAATATGTAAAATTTTGGCGCACACAAACTTATAGCTAACTATATCTATTATGGATCCCGAAGATGGAATTTCTTCATATGCAGTAATTTAATTTATTTCAACAGCACCTCAATAGTAAGAGCTGAAATGCATGTTCTATAGTAAGAGCATCTCTGGAATATCTTGACTGATGATGATGTCAACCATAGGATAATTCAAGCTCTGGGACCCTTATGTCATTAGAAAGTCTCGTAGAACCTGAAATGTATGTTCTGTCGGACGACAGTGAGACTTGGGACCTGTTTGTTAGCAACTTAATGAGCTTAATGGGGATCACAGCTTATTCGGTCAGCTATACATGATTGTGTGGTAGTGGCTTAATGATATAGAAAGTGGCTTATTTGGTAAGCTTTTAGGGGGGAGCTCTATGCAGAAAGCCAAGTTTTTTCCCAACATGTCCCTCCAAATTAAAAAACATGCTCCTTCCTTCTATGAAAAATCCCTCCCAAACCAAAATCATCCCATCCCACACAAACAACTTTATCCATACAGGACTTAATGGAAAATCAACCAAACATCCGCCAATTATGGGGCAGAATGTTGGGTCTTCAAAAGGCAACATGTGCACAAGATGAATTTAGTGAACACGTGGATGCCGAGGTGGAAGTTTTGGTGACACAATGAGACATAGGATATAAATGGTGATATGTGGAAAAAGGTTAGGGTGACACTAATTTAGGAGAAGTTAAGACAGCATTCCTTAGATAGTTTCGCTTGTTATCCCTCACTTTGAATATCTATTATTAATGCTAAAAAAACTTGTAACTTTCTCCACCGTTGAATAAGGTAAAATTCTTTTCACATAGGCCATAGCAGAAATGGAGTGAATTGAAGAACCCAATTCATGTTCAGATGCTTTTTTTGTGGGAGAGGGCGGGTCACCTCTTTTTAAGTTCTCTTGGTTTTACCTCTTTACATTTTTTAGTATACTCCACTTCGTTTCGACTCCTGAAGAATCAATAATTTAATGTGAGAAACAACATTTGTACTATTGTTATTAAGAGATATCAAGAAACAACCGCCCCTACTGCATATCAGTAAGTTTATCTGTTTCTGTTTCAGACACGGCGATTACTTCAAGATTCCCAACTGAATCCTGGAAGACAGAGGGGCATCTGCATTCCGCTGTTATCGGGTGTAATTTAACATGTAGATAAACATTGTACTCAAATTTCTTGGCTATTATCACCTGTTTCTATCTATTAATTGGGTGTAATTCTGATGTCGACTGTTGTACTCTTTTTTTTGGGAATTCACGGGTTATCTCCCTTTTTGTGGTGAGATCAGCCAAGACCTGAAGTGGGGTTGGGGGAGGAATGTTTCTCCAGTTATCTTGGAAGTCTTTTCAATCCCCAAGTAGACTACAATAATGACTTCACACCATACACTTGTTGTTATTATAATGTATACATTTGAACATCAATCACAGTTTCAAATCTTGATTGTTTCAAAACTTGTATGACATTCATTTAGAGCACTAATACAACTTTCTGCCTTTTGTGTAAAAAAAAGCAGGCAGCTTTTGTGTAAATTTTTTGCAGATTGATGTATGGAATACATGGAAGATTGTAGGATTTCTTCTTGACAGGAGTCTTTGAATT